CTAGTGTCTAGGTGTGGGTCCGTAAGGATCTCGTCCATCTTGCCTATCTGAGCTTTACCTTTCCCAATCAACTTTGCTATGTGTGCGTCCCATGAGCACTCCTTCGAAATCTCTACTCCCAGGTACGTATACCTGTCTACTACCGGTAGTTCTTCCTCCCCCCATTTCCATTTGAATTCTACGGGATTTTTCTTGTCTTCGTTACAGACCACTACTGCGCATTTTCCTACGTTCGCCGACAGTCTCCATTTTCGGGTGTATCCTACTGCCGCATCTATTTGTTCCTGCAACCCTTCTGGTGTTTCGGATACCCCCACGAAATCATCTGCAAACATCAGTCCGGACACACTCTTTCCCCCTACTTGGACTCCCTGTCTTACTGCTTCAACCAACGGTATCAAGTCGTTGATGTAGATCTTGAAAAGAGTGGGTGCCATCGTACAGCCCTGTGCGACTCCTTGAAGTATATCCACCTACTTCGAGATTTCCCCATCCAACATCACTGCACTTCTTGTGCATTCTGTCATCTTTTTCAACATCCTCCACATGTTCCCCCGGATCCCAATGTCCCACATCTTTTTCCACAATCCATTGCGCCAAACTGTGTCGTAGGCTTTTTGTACATTCAGGAAGAAACAGTATGTCGTACGCCCGGCGTCTTTCCTACCTTGGATATTTTTACTCAACGGATATACATGGTCTGCACAACTACGATCTGGTCTAAATCCAGCTTGTCCTTCGCTGATCTTTTGTTTCCCCTCCAACATGTCTCCCATTCTATTGTTTATCATCTTGCCAAAGAGTTTCCCCACTGTGCTCAGCAAGGTTATCCCTCTATAATTCCCCGGGTCAGTTTTATGCCCCTTTTTGAACAGGTTCACGACTACTCCTTCTCTCCATCTCTTCGGCGCGTACTCGTGTTTCCATATCCAGTTGAATATCCGGACCAACATGTTAATCATCCCCCCCCCCCCTGTTTCAAAAGCTCATTCACAATTCCATCAGCCCCTGCCGCATTTCTATTCTTGAGTTTCGATACACAGTCCTCTACCTCTTCTCGTGTGAACTCTCCCTGCAACCCGCCTACATCACTACATTCCCTCCGAGATCTTTCAACGTTTTCCTCTGCCCACGAGTTGATTTCCTTCTCAAACTCCGAGTCGAAGTTGTCGTTGGTGGTGGGTGTCCCAAGTTTGCGGTAGTGCTCTACTAGTACTTCCCGCTTTCCTTTAGAACTGCTTACCATCTTACCCTCGGCAGATCGTAGTGTCGCTATTCCCGTGTCTCCCCCTCTTTTCTTGCCCACTATCCCTTGAATTCCTACCCACATTTGCTTCATCCCCCCCTCAAAATCTTCGTTAGTCTTTTGGACTACTTCCTCCCACAACGCTTTCTTCTTCTTCACCACCAACTCCTTCACCCTCTTTCTATTTTCAACATACTCCTTCCATCCTGCATCGGTTTTCCCTGCCGCATATTTTGCGTGTGACTCTACGTACTCGAATTGCTTGCTTGATTTCTTCGTCCCACCACTTCACTGCTCTCTTACAAAGTATCAGCTTTCTACCGAGAACTCTACTTGCCGTTGTGTTTACCAGCTTTTCCCACCCTTCTATGATTCTAGATCCGGCCTGGTCCCGACCTGTGGCATCCTTCGGTGTGCCCATTGCCTCTACCAACTCCGAGA